ATCTGGGCTAAGATTTTCTGCCTTGGTCTCTCTCTCTCTCTCACTCTGTGTGTGTGCATGTGTGTGTTTGATGATGTTTGTGTTTATGTAACGGCCAGAGATCTAATTATCTTTGTCTCTCATACCCCATCTTAGTTTTTGATACAGGGCCTCACACTGAACCTAGAGCTAATCAGATCTCTTGAGAAAACTGGGTGTATGGGGGGAGGGGAGAGAAAGAGAAGAGAAGAGAAAGAAAGAGAAAGAGAAGAGAAAGAGAAGGGAAGAAGAGGAGGGGAGAGGAGGACATGAGGGAGCAGGAAGATTGAGTCAGCAGAAAAATCCAGGAGAGCAAGAAAAGAGATACCATAATAGAGGGAGACATTGTAAGTCTAAAGAGAAATCTGGCACTAGGGAAATGTTCAGAGATCTAGAAAGATGACCTCAACTAAGAATCTAAGCAATAGTGGAGAGGTTACCTTAAATGCCCTTCCCTGATAATGAGATTGATGACTACGTTATATGCCATCATAGAGCCTTCATCCAGTAGCTGATGGAAGCAGAAGCAGATACCCACAGCTAAACACTGAGCTGAACTCCTGGAATCCAGTTGCACAGAGGGAGGAGTGATGAGCAAAGGGGTCAAGACCAGGCTGGAGAAACCCATGGAAACAGCTAACCTGAACAAGGGGGAGCTCATGGACCCCAGTCTGATAGTTGAGAAATCAGCACAAGACCGACCAAGACTCCCTGAACATGGGTGTTAGTTGTGAGGACTGGGAAGTCTATGGGGCCTTTGGTGGTGGGTCAGTATTTATCCCTAGCATATGAATGGAATTTGGGAGCCCATTCCTCATAGAGGGATACTCTCTCAGCCTAGACACATGGGAGAGGGCCTAGGCCCTGCTCCAAATGATGTGACAGACTTTGAAGATACCACATGGAAAGTCTCACCCTCCCTTGGGAGTAGAAAGGGGAAGAGATAGGGAGCTGGTGGGGGGGCAGGGGAGGAGGGGACAAAGCGGGAACTCAGATTGACGTGTAAAACAAGATTGTAATATAAATTTTAAAAATTGTTAAAAAAAAGTAATAAATAGTATATTCAAGTTTGATAGTATTTTCTTCCAGGGAATTTCAGGGAATAGATTTAACTTTCTTCTTTAAGAGTCGTACTTTCCAAATAGTGTGCCATAAGCATGGCATGTCTATCCCAAAATAATATTGAGTAATCCAAAGCTAGGCATGGTGGCATGCCCACAATCCTGCTGTTTGGGAAATGGCGGTGGGGGATGGCGGTGGGGGATGGGGGTGGGGGGTGGGGCGGGGATTGGGAGCTGGACTGACCTGAGACTTTCTCAGAGGCCATGATAAAAGGACAAAGGAAACATTAGTTCTGTGTCCTTGTCTAGGAGCTGACAGGCCACTCTAGTAGGAGCTGGGAAGTCAAGAACGCTGAGAGTAATGTAGCCGGTAGAGGTCCAGCTCAAGAGGTTTCAGCATAAGACAGTATTATCAACGTGTATGGAGACTGTTCCTGTGATCGGTTTTTGACTGCTGTCTGCCCCTTTGCTAAGAACATGTCCGAGGCTAAATTAAAAACTAATGAACTAATTTCTTTGGTGGAGGCCATTTTAAAGCAGCATAACACTAACTCTGCGGTGAGGTTACTGTCATCATTTTAATTTAGTTATTTTATTTTGTGTGTATAGGTATTTTATTTTGTGTGTATGCATACTCAGTTGGTTTTCTCAGATACCAGGCAAGGGAACTGGATCGCTTGGGATTAGAGTTACAGATGGTCGTCGTCGTATGGGTTCTGGGAATTGAAGCTGGGTTCTCTGGAAATGCGGCCAGGGTTTTTAACTGCTGAACCATTTTTCCAGCCCTCAGCTTAGTCATTACTGACGAATGTTATGCTGATTTACAATGGAAAAGAACAAGTGAGGCAGAAATACAAAACCTGTGGTTTGAAGAGAAAAGAACACCACTAAACTTAATGTTGCAGGGGAGGTTTGTGCTGAAAGGGAGAAGGCGATTTGTTGCCACCAAGGAGATTCCTTCTGCATGCACTGGAGTAAAGAGAAGGGTGTCCTTTGGGCACTACCCCACCCAGATAATCTTCCAGCTTGTGAAAGGAAAAGGCTAAGGCATGTTCTGTTCCTAGAAAGCAATTTAAAATATAATTCAAGGGGCGGGGGCTCATTCCAAACTAGTAGCCAGACTTGGCATTGTGGTCCATGTGGTGCTGACTTTAGGGTCATGGAGGATGAGTGACGGTGGGAAGGGATCGTGAATTCTTTCTCTGTGGTTTCAGAGAGCTGGTAACCCTCCCCAAACAGTGCCACCAACAGGGGCCCAAGTGTTCAAATGTCCAAGGCCATGGGGGAGAGTCCTCATTCAAACTATTAAAGGACCACAATATATTGGAGATGCCAAAGCTATGAGATGTCTCCCCAGCAGGGCAGCTTACAGGAAGCTGAATCAGCCTGGCGGGGGGTGGGGGGTAAGGGGTGGGGGGTGGGGGATGCACGATGTCAGCAAAGATGGAGGGGTGGAACCACCTAACTCCCATGAAATGAAAGCCCCAGACATGAGGAGGTCTGGAGCTACTGCGCTTGATATCTGTTCTGATTGATCAGTATTTCCCCATTATGCCCCATTCCCTCCCTTTGGGAATGGGAATGCATATTCTATGTTGGAAGTATGTAATTCAATTTTTGATTTTTTACAGGGCTTACAATGAGGAGTCTTGAGTCGTAGAAACAAATTTGGACTTTGAGATAGCACAGAGACTGTGAAAAACAATGGGGCCTTTTGAAGCTCAATGAAATGCATGTGTATGTATGACCAGGAGCCTAACAGGCCAATGAGTAGATGTGGTGGTTTAAACAAGAACACCCCCAGAGTCTTGGGTATCTCAACACGTGGTTCCCAGGGGGTAGTGCTGTTGGAGGAGGTTAAGGTAGCGCAACTGTATTGGAGAAAGTATCACTGGAGATTGGCTTTGGGATTTAAAGTCTCATATCATTTCCAGTACACCCTACACATTCTTTTGATTCAATCTTGAGGTTCAAAATGTGAGTGCTCAGTTTTCTTTTCTACTTCTGTTTGTTTGTTTGCTTTCGAGACAGGATTTCTCTGGGTAGCCCTGGCAGTCATAGAACACATTCTGTAGAGCAGGCTGGCCTTGAACTCATGGATCTGTCTGTCTCTGCCTCCTGCATATTAGAATTAAAGGCAAGCCACACCACTTGTTGTCATGACTCTGCTCCAACATCATAGACTCTTGTCCTTCTGCAACCATAAGCACAAATAAACCCTTCTATATGCTACCTTGGTTGTGGTGTTTTAACACAGCAACAGAAAAATAAGGTGAATGTTTATTTTTCCTGATATGGTCTTAATAAACTTGTGTGCTCATACTGTCTCAATTCACCCCAGTGAATTTAAAGGTGGAATTCTGTCTATTTCAAGGAATGTCACTTACTAGTCTGTGTTGTATGAATAAATGGTGTTTACTTCTTCATTCCAGGACCTGGTTATCCTCTATTTTGACCTGGAGTCAAAAGTTGTTTATAAGATGGAATCTCCCTAGAGGAAGTCTGAAAAACCACTGTTTTTTTTTTTTTTTAAATAGGGAATAGGGCATAGCTTGATCTCAGCAAATGTCCATGCTGAGCCCCGCAAAGGGGAAATGGGAAGTCAAGTCAGAGTGAATTGGGGGATTGGACCAGTCCTGATCAGCATGGCTCTTGGCTATGCACCCTGAGCAATGAATCTACCTGCTTCTCTATGATGGGTCCCTGGGTTGGCGATTGAAGAATGTCTAGGTCCCATCAGCAGCTAATAGCCTTGATGGTTTGGAGGCTTTGGTGACCAGGGGAGAAAGTAGCACATTTTATTCTCGAGGGAACAGTTGATGTGACGGTTTTAACAAGGCCTGGATCCCACTGGTGGAACAATGTGGATTTCCTTGCCCTATACTTGTCCCTGGATTTGGGGGTTTGGAGGGTGGAGTTGAGTCCATTGGTGGACCAGTCCTTCTCCATCTCTTCAGAGAGGTGTTATATAGCACTGAAAAACAAAACAAAACAAAACAACCTTTGTAACAACAAATGCCTTTCCTAGTACTCTTGACTCATGGTCGTGGATTCTAGTTTACTGACTTCTGTCCCATGACATCTAAAGCCTCTTCATCAGTTAATGGCCTTTCTTGCTGTCACAATTTCTTTTTACTGTCATCATCCTCAGTCTCTCATTCAGCACGCAGTCTATTTTTTATTGTTTTTTTTCCGTAGAACTTTACACAGTTTGCTACTTTTCCTTATATTTTTTCTTGATTAGTTTGATAAAAAAAATATTGATCTTCCTCATCTCTCTCTGTGCACTCCTCAGACTCTATTTGATGTTCCTTTCAAATATCTTATATTTAAGAGCAAAGCATGGAGACTGGGAGTCTGTGATGTACACAGACTTGTGTGCTCTATCCTTTGTGCCATTCACAAGGGTCAGTGCAGTTGCAGGAGAGGGTTGATGCTTTGAACTTTTATGCTTTCCTGTCTAATTTCATTCATTACTTAAGGAATAAAGTCTTGCATTTCAACACAATGGGTGGGATTAGAGGATGCTCTCAAGGGAGGGGCTGGGGAACTTAGGTCACTTGTAAAGGGGCTGCTTAGAGCTCCCAATGTTGCTCTCCACACCCCACCTGAGACTTTGAAAGGAACACAAAGTCCTCTCCAAGGGAAGATACCCCTTGGAGGCCCAGTAAAGAAGAAAGGGATAACCGTTTTATGAAAAGTCAAATGTTAAAAGAAAAAACAAAACATGGAATCTTACCTCAAGAGTCTGAGCTTTTCAAGCTCTCAAGTTAGTAGGAAAACAGCAATAGTGTCAGTTGTAATAGGTAATGACCAGAAACTTCTAGAAGACAGACAAACAAAACAAAACAAAAAACAAAACCAAAACAGAAAAGCCAAATCATAATGACTTAAATGACAGAAGTTTATTTTCAGCTGAGTTTTGTATTCTTTATATTGCCTTCACCATACAACCCAGGACCTCCAACATCACATACAACTGTAAAACCTAGCACATTCCCTTGACATGTTCCTGTGTCAGGGGGAACAATGTCTGCCGGATCTTGTCTTGGCAAGCAAGTGTGAGCCTGAAATTGACACTTTTCAATTCCTCTTGTGAGTCAATGGCTGGAATCATTCAATGGCTGCAAGGATCAATACATGCCATGCTGTGCCTCTCAGAGGAGGCAGATGAGATGCTAGGCTCCTGAAGGCCTGTCAAGCTGCCAACTTACAGCCTATACATTGCTTGGTTTCTCTAGTGAAGGTCTGGTCAGAGAAAGACGACGGCATATTTCATTACAGCTTGCGTGCTGGTTATTAAAGAAGTAAAATATTCCCCGCTTTCCAAAATTTGTTGTGACATCTTTCTGATCAATGGAGTGAATCTGAGGGTCAGTAAGATAGATGAGGCCTTTCCCATTGCCAGTCACCCAACCTAAAAGAGAATGAATACATCTGAACACCACATACCCTAGAAATGTCAACACACACACACACACACACACACACACACACGCAAGCTTACACACATGTGTGCACACACACATACGTGCATGCTTAAAGAGATACATTTAAAACTTGACCATCCTGTGATTTATATTCAGAAAGTTTATGCCAAGGAATTTGAGATGTATACCCTAACTGAAGAGAACTGAATACATTGTTATATGCGTCAAGTGTGACATACTGAGATAGTGAATATTCACAGAATTGTAGAGCATAAAGTTCATTTAGAATAATTATTAAAATTTCAATGTTGAGCATTTCCCTCTTGATTTAGAAACTTCTTTATGCTGTATTCACTAGGTCCTATATTTTCCTACTTACCCTACACTTACATGTATCAAGTGTAGATACTGTACAAAAAAGTTTTATATATTAAGTACACAATAGTGAACAAGATAAGCAAAAATGTTTTTACCCACTGAGCAAACATTCTCATGAAGGCAAACAGATAAATAAACTGTGAATATGTAAAACATACAGTGTGAGGGGTATAAACACTATGAAGGAAGAACTGGATTAAAGGGCTCTTGATAGAATATTCACTGACATGAATTATGGTGAGTACAGTAACCAACAAACTGAAAAACTATTAATATTAATGGGGATTTAAAGAAAAGTTAATTTTAAATACATTCAGCTTTCTGTTACATAATAATCCCAATTATGAAACTCAATTATCAGCTTTCACTCTGAATAAAGGGCCAGAGAAAAGAAAAAGTAGAGATGATTTTAAATTTAATTAGTTAATTATTGATTTGTGTGTGGTGGCGTAACAGTTTGAATGAAAATGGCCCCTATATACCCACAGGGAATGGCACTATTAGGAAGTGTTGCCTTGTTGGAGTAGGCATGGTCTTGCTGGAGGTAATGTGTCACTGTGGAAGCAGGCTTTGAGGTCTCATATATGCTCAAGCCACTCCCAACATGACAGTTTGTTTCCTGTTGCCTGTGGATCAAGATGTAGAACTCCCAGCTACCTCTCTAGCACCATGTCTGCCCACATGCCACCATGGAGATAATGAACTAGATTCTGAAAGTGTAAGCTACAACAATTAAATGTTTGCCTTTGTAAGATTTACCATGGCCATGGTGTCTCTTCACAGTAACAGAAACCCAAAGACAGGAGGCCAGGAGTGGGTGTCAGATAACCTGAAACTAGAGTCACAGACAGTTATGAGCAGCCAGGATTCTGGGTACAGGGATTGAACCCAGGCCCTCTATAAGAACAGCAAGGGCTCTTAACCACTGAGTCATACTCCAGTCCCATGGGAAAAGTTCAGAAGATTTTGAAGTGGGTTGTAGTAATAAGAAAGTTATTTTATTTGCATCTACTCAATTGAGTAGAAGCTTCTAGGGACCAGTCTACAGCTGAGCACAAGAGGCCACATTATGGATATCAAGATGCTTATGTCAGGAATCATTTGCTACATGAAGTAAAATCAATGAACTTAATACCAAACAGTACCCTGCACACAGAATGGTCTATGAGATATGACTAATGATTAGTGAAACAAGTTGCAATATTCAGAATAAGAAGTAAACCCTGCTTTGCATACCTTGTAAATCTACCACAACATCTCTGTGCTTAGAAAACTCATAAGAAAAATGACCATAAGCCAAGCCGTATTCTGTAGCTTTGTACTCAGTTTTGACGACTTTTGTGTTATTTGATAACTTGACGAATTCTCCCAGTATGTAAGGTTCCACACTGATGCATCCCTTTATAGTCTTGTCTTCCAAAATCTGAAACATAAAGATGGGAGGTAATGCACACAATGGTGAAGGACACAGTCTCTGCAGTGGGGTGGATCTCAGTTTGGACTGGGTTTTTGCCTTGTAGATTTATTATTCTAGACTTCAATTTCTTCAGAGATATGTCTAAGAGTAATAATAACTCTCTAGTTTTGTCAAAAGGATTCAATGATAAAACAAATACAAAGTACTTGGCATATGTAGCGTAAAATATGATCCAAAGTAATTATTGTTCATAGATTAAATTGCTCACTTAAAAACTAGGCCACAGGGACTGGAAAGATGGCTCAATGGTTAAGAGCACTGGTTGCTCTTCCAGAGGACTTGAGCTAAATTTCCAGCATCCATACATTGGCTCACTTCTATAAATCCAGTCCCTGGAAATCCAATGGCCTCTTCCAGCCTCCAGAGGCATAGAATACACAGTCGTGCACAAACAATACAGACAAAATATTCATATACACAAGTCAAGTTAGGGCACAGTGACCTCACCTCAGGCTGGCTTGCCAGAGTATGTGAGTGGAGCATGCTTTTGAACTAGAGGCTATTATCTCATGAATTTCCATATAATGAGTTTGACTTACTGGTTAGTATCAGTGCCTGTAAGATGCTTGAATAGTTTCTGACATGAAGGTACAAATCAGATGATATTTATATCATAAACACTAGAATAATGAGTCGAAGGGCCTCTGGCTAATGAAAAAAGTCATCACAAATATGAATACAGAAAGGAGTCAGTCTATCTGGAGAAACAGCTACTCTTGATCTGTACAAAGAAAAAGGAGTAGGGAGATTGCTTTCATCTCTCTGAAGTGATGTTTAGTGAAGAGAGAATGGTTTCAGTATCCCTGAAGTCTAGAGTAGAGGAAGACAGATTGGGCCACGTCTAAGAACTGCCTAACAATTATCTAAGTAGAAAGTGAAGTACTTGCATTTTTTTCCCTTGCTAAATGTATTTAATCCACATTGGTTTCAAGGACTCAGAGAAAAAGAAATGGAAAACAAGGGATTTATGCATCATGCTGAAGGAATAATCTGTACAAAATACAACCCTGAAAGTCCCTTTGCAAGAGAGACAACACGTAAAGAAAAGTCTAGTGAGTATGCTAACTTAACCAGACATTAGGGTCAACCGTTACTGTGATGTCACTCACTGACTGGACTGTCTAGCCCAAATGAATGTGTCGGAGTGGACAGAGGATCATTTTTCTCACCTATCTTTTTAACAGGATGAAGCTGATGAAGCAGATAAAGGAGCCTAGGAACTGGATGTATAAGATCTTACCAGGACCATGTTAGAAGTAGATTTGTAATACAAGTACAACCTAATACATACTTGTAGGCTTGTTTCATTAACCAAACTCATGCTCTCTAAGGACTCACCAGCAATACTGTAGACGGGATGTAGAACATCTGTGTTGGAATCTTTTGCTCGTAGAGTCTTTTGTTAAATTCCGTCACATAGTGCTGTGCTGTCATCTGTCGCTCCACATCAGTGAAGTGGTGCCGGAGCCCCTTCCACTCTTTGTATTCTTTCCCAACGTATCTACAGATGGACAGACCCCACACAGCAACATGTGAAACCCCTCGTTACTAGAGGGCAAATGAAAGGGGATGAGACACATGAGTTTTAAAACATATTTCTACTCCTTATCTAACCAGTATCAATTGTCTTAACTTCAGATTTAAATAATTTTGTAAGAACCACTTCTACAACGGAGCACAGCTCATGCTAGCTGGCCTGAAATGATATGGAATGTGGAGGGAAACTGTTGGTCTAGTCAATGTAGTTCTTCACACCTCTCTGTAAACCAGGGGTCAACACAGTGGATTCTAGAGCCCGATACTCTGTCATCTGCAGCATGGGGTTTCCATATATCAACTAGTTGGTATGAAACCCTCCTGTACCCCTTCCTTGTGGGATTGCATTCTTGAATACTAACTTTGCTAACACCTATTATTGGCACACTAGTGTGCTAGTTCTGAGGGCATGGAGAAAAATATGAGATATAAGACGTGTAACTTTCAAGGGCTTATAGTATAATTGGACAGAGACTATACATGGTAGTAAGCAATTAAATAAGACAACAATCACAGTGCTATTTTCACTGTAGTAATTTATACTTACTATATGCTAGTATGAATTTATTAGTAATGTCCCATGTGCTTGGAGTGACCCTCAAAAACCAGAGGGAGTCGTCAGCATCACAGACCATAATGACAGCAGCCCACCTCCTTCCCCCTTAGAAACCTGAATCTAATATGCAAGGAGACTACAGTCCTGGGCATCCAGACTCTTGAGGATGAGAGGCGTCTGACAGTGAAAAGTGCACACCCCAGTGCTGGACCCAGGTCTACAGACGGTGTGAACTAATCCAGAGCATTTCCTTTATTGACTGAGGCCAGAAGCATGCATGTACAAAAGGGCTACCCCTGTGGGATACCTTTCTGGATCATTCTTCCAGAAGTATGGATTATCACTCTATGAATAGGGAGATACCTTTTCTCTCATTTTATGCTATTTATTTCTTAGCATGGATTTGCTAGCAAGAAATTTATTGTAAAGGTCACAAGTTCTACCATGTTTAAATGTATAATAAGAAAAGTAAACCATGAGGTCAGTCTCTGGAAGGCTGCCACCCAAAGATGGCACTGTCTTGAATTTCATTCTTTACCTCTCATGGATCCTCCTCATACCTCACAGGCCATGAGACGTACGTACGTACGTGTGTGTGTGTGTGTGTGTGTGTGTGTGTGTGTGTGTGTGTGTGTTGGGGGGGCAGTTCCCCAATAATCTACAATGTAGCCAACATCTCTAATTTTCTTGTCTATACAATGGGTTTAAAAATGTTTCCCTCATGGACTTGAGATCATGTATACGCAGCATCTGGACACTCATATGGCATTGCTTTGTGATGTATGGAAACTGGTAATCAATTGACTAATGAAGAAGAAGGAAGTCAATATCTGCAAGCATACATTTTGACCATATCTCAACCCTTTCAAAAATCTCATGAATGACTACTTAAGCAAAAGGAAAATTAGCTCCAGTGTGCTGATGACACACATGTTTTCCAACAATACCTCCCCAGACTTTCCTCTTGATGAAGGTAGTGGACCCAAAATGCATTTCTCTGTTTGCCTTTCTTCTTCACTTTCAGGTAGTCCCCTAAATACACCACAGTTTCCTGGGCTGTCCACAACTCAGACTTTTTGGAATATTTTAGCAGTAGTGCATCTGAAAAAGAAATAAGGTTAGACTTCTTTAAGCATTTTGAACAGAGCTTGGCACCTAGTAAGAACACTTTTTGCATGCTCGCTGTAGGTTCTTGCCAGGCAGGAAATTCCATGGCTAGCAAAGCCATTTTCCCAGTGAACCACAAAATGCATCTTTCATGATCAGTGAGCGGTATACCAGCACGCTCTTCCAAGGGCTCCCAAATAGAAATGCCCTGACGCCTGGAGCTATAGAGCAAAAAAGTACTACGTACTGTGTGCTCGCTGGAGTTGAACGGGCTTTAATACTCCGGTATTGTCTAGTCTGTGAAGGAGCCAATCATTTGTCACTCCTGCCAGAAGCTTCTCAAAGTCGTCAGGCTGTAGGGTGCGAGCTTCAAGAAGCTCTTGCCTGCTCCGTCCAGGCAATGAGACAAAAGAACTTCTGCTGGAGTTTAGAAGAGACCATGAACTTTCTCCCTCCAGAGAACTGTTGGAAAAGGCAGGTGATTTCCGCCACCACTGTACGGATGAACTGGAGTTCTGGCTACACTTCAGCATGCTCCCAAGTTCCTTTTCTTCCTCTGTGGTGCTGAAGTCTGCATCGAAGTCTGGAAAGGGACTGTGGCCACTGACAGAGGAATTTGGCCTCTCATCTCTCTGATCTGGCCTCCAAGCACCTGGCCTGTGAACACCATCTTGGCCAGTGGGGCCCTCCTCATCCTCCGTAGAAGCATCAGGGTCCACGGTCTGGTCTTTGACTGAACCGCCTGTCTTTGCTGAGTCAAAATTTTGAACAGACAGGTGAGGAGAGAAAGTCCTTCGTGTCAGCACTGAAGGGCTGCCTTCTAAACATCCCAGTACTGCCTGAGGGTGTGGTGACCCATCCTCTTTGCTTTCTTCTGTTTCTCCTTCAGGGTCAACTGAAGAGGGGTCATCTGTAAATGCAGGCCCCGTGAATCTTTCAGTGACTTTCCCCCCATTCTTTCCTCCACAGTGGCCTTTTATATCATACTTGCTTTCTGGAAAATAACCAGTCATTTCACAGGTTTCTTCTTCTTGAACTGAAGGATATTTGGCCATGTCTGTGAACTTGCCAGAGCTAGATAAGGACCAGGAAACAGAACCACATGACAGACTGGGCTGACAAGATATATTACTGGGTCCTTCATTTCTGATGTCCTGGTTTCCTTCAGGGGCTTCCAGTAGCCCTGTTCCCGAGGCCAAGCAAGTGTCTGTTGTGTTGAGAGGAAGGACGGGTGTTAAGGACGAATGTTTGTGCAACTGACTTTGTGAAGACGCTAGGTTGCGATCTTCAGTTTCCTGAAGAGAGACACCATGCAGCTTTGAAAACAAGTGTGTAGCTCCACAGCTTCTGTCGCTCTTGGGCTCCTCAGACACTGCCGTGGAGCACTGAGTGTCCACAAGGTGTTCTTCTTTGCTAGACTCTTTCCTGTCCATACCCTTAATACCACAGTTCACTTCCTCCCAGCTTGCAGAAGAGCTGAGCCCTGACAGTTTGCTCCAAGAACCCGAGCTATGGCTGTCACTCAGAGATGTATGGGGAACATCTGCCTTGCCATTGCTGTGACTGGGCGGCTCAGTCTCAGTCCCCATATCTTGATCCAGGGAGACCCGAAATGCTTCAGAATGGGTCCAGTTTCTCCTCTTTACTCTTCTGAGCTTTTCCTGGTCTTTCTCAGCCATCTGGGAGGAAGCTATACTCCCACTTTCTTGAGAACACAGTTTATCTAGAGTAGCACCCATAGTATCTACGGTGTTGGTTTCTGTTTTTAGAGCAGTGATGCACACCTCTGGTTTTGTGTCTCTGTGGTTGCTTTTGCTGCTCCTGCAAGTGCCTTCAAATACTTCACACACTGAGGTATGGTGCTGGGAATAGATTGCAAGAATTTGTTGGAAGTCTACGTGCCCACGCAAGATAGGTTTATCCAAGCCACATTTGAAGCTCTCTGGAACGTAAGACCTATCATCTAAGTTTTGGAAGCTTTGAACTTGTAGATGTCCCTTCACCTGGCTGACAAGAGACATGATTTCCTGAGACAGGGCTTCTCTGTCCCGGCTTGTGGAAGAGATGCTAAAGGTGTACAGCTTACCCACAGCTTCACTGCAGAGCTGCCTTGCAGCGCGGATGGCGTCTGTCTCCCCGTGGAGTCTGCAGTGTACTGTGGTGAGGCTGAAAGCAGCTTTGATGAAGCTGTGCAGCTCCTGCTTCCCACTCACCAGCTCACCATCTTTCTTGGTCAGGAGGCCAATCTCAAAAGCCTCTTTGGCATCACACAGGTACACACTTTTCATTCCTGGAGGACAATCAGTAGAGCAACTGTATGACAGCAAACACGTGCCTCGGATATTCTATGGGAAACAGCAAACGCAGGTCAGATATTGTATCCCGGGTGAATCAGAACAAATTTTTCTTCTTCTTCTTCTTCTTCTTTTTTTTTTTTTTTTTTTTTTTTTTTTTTTTTTTTTAGATAGGGTCTCTCTATGTAGCTCTGGTTCTTCTGGAACTCACTGTGTAGACCAGGCTGGCCTCAATCTCACAAAGATTCACCTACCTCTGCCATCCTTGAGTGCTTGGATTAAAGGTGTGCACCACCACACCCAGCAACAGTTTATATTCCCGGAGGATACTCACTTAAAATATTACAGGAAAATAAGTACACGCCATAGACATTATAAAGGAGGTTCACAAATGCTTAATGGAGGATGTGAGTTTTGTTTTGATGAGTGAGAAGGGTGGGAACAGGAGCCACTGACTGGCATGGAGTTAAGACATTATCTTTACCTGCCATCCTGCCATGACCCTGACGCTTGTGAACTGACCATAGCAGACTTATGATTTGCTGTTGTTCATTTGAGCAAAGGGTGTGTGATGGTTGGGTTGTCCCTTTGATTGGTTTGAGAAGTCTGTGAAGATTTATGAGAGACAATGACATTAGGGATGCAAGACCCACCTTGAAGGTGGGTTGTACCACCCAATATGCAGGAGTGAATTTGGACTAAAAGAAGAAGGAAGGTGGATGCCTGCTAGCACTGGCAGCCACGAGGGTGAAGTTTTTGTTCTTGATAGCTACTGCTACTATGATATTTTATCTTACATCAGTGACAGAGCCAATGAACCACAGACTGAAACCTCTGAAACTGTTAGCAAAAAGGCAACAACAGCAGTGTCAAAGCAAATAAAAATACAAAGAACAGCCCTTTCCTTCTCTTAGATTATTTCTCACAGTATTTGTGTTTGTCACAGTGACAACAGTCTTACTAACTGTTGTCTATACCTAGTCTATACCTAGGACACAGACATAATTAATTTCTCTATGCAGTAACGGTATTGATTTACCTATAGGCCAAACAACAGGGTGTTGGGGACAAGAACAAAAGGTCTGTCTGTACATGTTCTCTACAGATGCAAAAATTTTGAGGAAGTGTCAGAGTGTTGAACTTGCAGACATGGAGCTGACCGTGTGTGTGTGTGTGTGTGTGTGTGTGTGTGTGTGTGTGTGTGTGTGTATTTTAAGTTAGTTAATTGTTAATTGTTAAAAGTTATGTGTATGTTTGTCTGTTTACATGTTCACACACATGCCCACGGAGTCCATGGGGAGTGTCAGATTGCTTGGAGCTGGAGCTCCAGGCTGTAACAAGCCCCCTGATGTGGGTGCTAGGAACCTGACCCAGGTTCTCTGCAGGAGCAGTCCCTGCTCTTAACTGCTGAGCCAGCTCTTCAGCCCCCAAAGTTTACTTTGTTTCAAAATGAAAGATTGTTAATCCAAGAGATTTGCATTTAACAGGCATAGAGTAGATCCCAGGAGCTTGTGTTTTGAAAAGGCTCCCTGGGTGGTTCTGATTGGCTGCCAGCCTTAGGAACCCTTACTCTGGAACAGACAGCATTATATGCCATTGCGTGGACTGCAGTAACCTGGCTGCCATCAGGATACAGTCATCCTGACTAACAGTACTGGAGACCTTGCATAACTGCCAGTGGGGAGCCAGCACCTACTTCAAGGTTAGACTTTCCCTCCCCCTGCGTGGGAGGACCTCTATTTACCACAGCTGTGAGCACAAACAGCGGTGTGTAGGCACTGAAGGCAGCTGCCAGTTTGCAGGCTTCTGCAGCTGACAGCAAATGGTGGTCAAACTCCCTGAGCAAGGCCTGTGGGGAAAGAGGATGGAAAGTGAAGCAGCAGGTACCGTTTCTCCATTAGTAAGGTAATACCCACGACATCCCGTTGCTTTTCTTTCAAGATTCTTTTCATCACGAGTCTGCCAGAACAGTGCCAAGAAAGTCTAAGTGGGTCTAAAGATCCCAGAGCATTGGGTGTCTTACCTCTACCTACCCCAATCCCTATTCTGCATTCACAACCCAGAGTAGCGCATACAACAATTAGGCAAAGCAAATCAGATGTGCCTCTCTGTGAAATGGGAGCAATTCCCCATTCATGCAAACTGCACATCCAGACTGGCTGACGATCTCTGTGTTGTTCTTAGTAAAGGTCTCTTTATGGCTTCACACCAAGGGGGACTCATTCATTTATTTCAGAACATAACTGGACACGTCCGTGGGGCTAGACGCCATTATAGACACTGAGACAGTGGACTGCAAGTCTGCAAAAGGCTCATTTTCTATTGAGGAAATGAGCAGTGTACAAAGTTGTTGAAAGAATGGTGATATTAGGCTAAGAATGTGGAGCAAATCCTCAGTGTCTGATTTGAACAACCAAAACATTTGCCCATGGGTGTCTTTCTCAGGATTTATCTTCCTCCTCCTCTTCCTTCTCCTTCCTCCTCATCCTCTCTTTCTTCCTCTCCCTCTTCTTCCTCCTTTTTTCCTTCTCTTTCTTCTCCTTCTTCTTTTATGAGACAGGTCCCTCACTAGGACTTGGAACTCACAGATTCAGCTACAATGGCTCCCTAGCAAGCTCCAAGATTCCTCCTATATGTCCAGCACTGGGATTACAAACATGGGCCATCATGCCTGACTTTTATGTGGGGGTTGGGAAGCAAACTCAGGCCCTCATACTTATGTGGGAAATACTCTGCCAACTGAATTATCTTCCCCTGTCATCCCCAGAGTGGTTTTGTTTTTAAAGGAAATATATGGGACTGAAAGTCACTCTGATGGTATCCTATCGTTCATTAACTTGAACATTTCCATAGCTTTTTTTTTTTTTTTATTTGAGTCAGTGCTAGAGGCTGGGAAGACCAAGGTAAACAGGACCCATTATAATTGATCCCATTAATATAGGAGGGGCTGTGCTCCCAACCCCTACTCTACTGGGAAAGAAGTGGGGTAACCAGCACCAAGAATTGGTAACCAGAACCAGCATTGACAGGTGTCCAGGCAATGCCACTCTGAACCATGTTTTAGACAAATGACAATTACCAAGTTAACCTGTGGGTTGTTCTTAAACTTTTCATAATCCGTTTTGCTCATGGAAACAAAGATGTCTGCCAGTATACCCAGTGATGTGGAAATACCCTGTAAGGAAAACAAACAAATCAGATTGGAATTCTCTCATCTTATGGCCTACAGTTAGTGACTGCATTCCATGTGAATCATCTATCTGTTTGCTATTAGTCTGTGACTATGGCATGGAGAAACTTTTGAATGAAACTTTGCAGGATCAAGAGATTATTACATCCCAAGGTACGAGGATGAATTGAAATATAGCTACTTTGAAGTTGGGCTTCACTGGTTATTGGCACTAATTTATCTAATTAATAGGCCTGAATAACTGGCATGGGAAGACATCCATACTACTCTCCATCTGTGTTGTAAAAGAGGATAGGCCTCACTCAGTAACACAGCTCTGGGAAATGGAGGCTTCCGATCATAAGAGGGCAGTCCCACAAAATTACAGAGAATGAAACTCCCAGCAGCAAAGCAAGGGCTGAGCTGATTCTTAGTTTCTTAAAGATGCTACCACATGAACAGTTAAAGGAAGTTTTTGCTCACTGGACTCTTGGAAAATGACTTTATACATAAGTATCAAGGCCATCTCAACTTTGTCACAGAATCAAGTCAAAGCTAAATATGTGATAAGATAGTCACAAAGTTGCAGAGAACTCAATTCATAGTTGGAGGGTTAGGAATTATTATAGAAACCTGTCACAGGCCAAGAGTAACTAACTATAACACACAAGGAAGTTCCCAGATGTTCCTGTACTTCTGTAGAAAAAGATGACACAGACAGAATTGGTAAATGGTGAAGTTAATTGTGTTATAAGGAGACAGCTATCCAAAGGCAAGTATGGAGAGGAGATACTGCATGTAGGTACACAACTTTTTTATCTGGCTGAGGGAGTGTCAAGTAGCCTACTACCGAGGCCCATATCAACTCTGCAGCTTCATACCACATTCCTGGAAAACAAAGGAAGAATAGGGAGAGACTGTTAGCATCTGTGCCTTAGTGTACAGATAAATAATGAGTAATTATTTATTTATATTTATAAATAATAAATAGATAAAATAAATAACTAGGAAGACATTAGAAAACTAATGCATTCAGAACAGTTATTGGCTTCTGTTAAGAAAACGGGGGCTAGATTAGACTGACAGAGCAATTTGTTTCTTTCCTTTGGTCATATATTGGTAACTTTCCCACATCGCCAAGAAACTTTATGAATTATCACACATCTGGTATCCGTCTTAATTATCATTACTATTGCTCTGATGAAACACCATGAACAAAGCAACTTGGGGAGGAAAGGGTTTATTTGGCTCACAGTTCCACAGCACTGTTCATCATTGAAAGAAGTCAGAATAGGAACTCAGGGCAGGAAAGAGGAGGCAGGAACTCACACAGAGTCCATGGAGGAGTCTTGTTTACTGGCTTTCTCAGCCTTTCCTCTTATAGAAGCCAGGACCACTGGTTCAGGGATGGCACCATCCATAATAGGCTGGGCGTTTTCACAATAATCACTAATTAAGAAAAGGCGCTATAGGCTTGCCTGCTATTGACTTACAGAGGGATTTTCTTAATTGAGATTCCCTCCTCTCTGATGACTCTAGCTTGTGTCAAGTTGACACAAAACTAGCCAGCATATTATCTTTAACATACACAGACATAGATATATAATCTATGGTCATTTCCATTATTTATAAGAATGATAGTTACCATCATCTATTAAAAATTTCAAAACCTTTAGTTTGTCTTTTAGTCTAATTAGAGTTTGAAAACTTTGCTCAGAGACTTTGTGAGTCCTCCTAGGAATGAATGAGTAACCAAAGCCAGTGAATAGCTTCAATTCACAACTGTGAATTTTGCTAACAAAACAGAAAAAAAGATTTTTCTCTTACTAATATTTTTTTTGTTTGTTTTTGTTTTTGCTTTTTCAAGATAGGGTTTCTCAGTGTAGCCCTGGCTGTCCCAGAACATGCTCTGACCTCAAATTCAGACATCTGTTTGCCTCTGCCTCTCAACTGCTGGGATTAAAGTCATATGTCCCCACTCCCTGGCTCTTATTAATATTCCTAACAGTTATGGATTTTTTTTGTTTTGTTTTTGAGATAGGGTTTCTCTGTGTAACAATCATGGCTGTCTTAGAACTCACTTTATAGACTAGAGCGACTTTGAACTGAGATATCTTCCTGCCTCTGCCTCCTGAGTGCTGGGGTTAAAAGCGTGCGCCGCCACCACCTGGCCAGTTACAGGCTTTTTTAAAACATGAAGTCTCACTATGTTGCCCAGGCTGGCCTTAGTCTCCTGGCTCGAGTTATCCTTCTGCCTCAGTCTACAGAGTTGGCTACACTGGTGTACACAGCCATGCTGAGCTCAGCTCCTGATATGGTAAATGTTATTTTCTTCTCAACAGGACGGCTAAGGGGAGTGGGATGTGATAATCTTGACCAGACGTAATCAGAAAACCCCACAGTAAATTTTTACAGCCAGCTTCTGTATGTGAGCCCTAAGAGGGATAATGACTGATGTCAGACAGCACCTAGCTTTTGCAGAATCTGTCCTCTGATCTGTATACAGACCGACTGCACCAGGACTTTGTCACTTTCATTTCTATACAGCCAGGTACCTAGAATAAAAAGGAAGATATTGCCTGAAGTCAAGAAGGAAATGGCTTGGTAAAACAAACCCATGTTCACAGACGTCTTCATGAACACACATGACTCAGATTTGAGAGACAGCTCCAACGCCCATGACTGCACAGGAGCCAGCTTCTACACGGTCTGCGGCTGTCTTATCAACAGTTCTCACTCCCTAGGGTCTTCGCCTGTGCCTCTGGTTTCAGGCACCGACCTGTGCTCGCATCATCCCAACCTGGGATCCCCTGGCTTCTTAAGAGTTCGTCTTTTCTCAGAGCCCAGACTCAGTGCTGCTGTCTTGAAGGCTCCCCAGGTTCCTGATCCCAGGTTGTCTTACCTCACTGTCTGTGGGCTGTCTCACAGACCATGGGGTCAGTTCCAACCACACAGATTTGTTTGGATACTGAAGGTGATGACTCCACACAGGCCAAAAACTTAGGAGAGGATTCATTACCTATGTAATGATTGCTTAGGAGACCTGGGCTGGCACCCAGGCTGGCCATTTGACTGGATGAAGGGAGTGGTGAGTGAGTGGCTTTGGATTTTTCATGGTGGTCATTGTGTGAGACAGGTAGAGGTCTGAGAAGCTGGGCTGGAGTTTGTGGGCAAGTAAACTGGGTTTTCAGTTTTGTATTAGCATATATTAATCCTGCAGTAAGGGAAGTTTGTTATGACATGTCCCCACACATGCACACCTTACCGTGTGCTCTATTATCCCTTTCGTTCTGCTTTGTCAAGTGGCCCAGTGGGTGGCAAAAGGAAAAAGTCAGGATGGTAAATGTCAGTGGGAAAAAGTGGAGTTGGCCTTTTTCTTCATTGTTCCACCATACTGCAGTTTTCTTCCTGGTTCCTGTGTGTAAGCACACAGGTGGTGTGGTTTTGGGTGAGTTTGTGTGTGTGTTTGGGTATGTGTTTGTGTGTGTACATGGGTTTTCTGGCGTGCATGTACAGTGTAGAAGACAGAAAACATGAACTGTGTGGCTTAGTTCTGGGGACCATCAATGAAAGCCATGCAGCGAATATTTCCATCCCAACCTGTCTTCCTCTTGGTGCCATCCACAGTTTTCAAGAACTAAGAGCCAATGTATCTCAAAAGTTTACTGAAAACAAAACAAAACTTGTTCAACTTTTTGGAAAACTTGCTGTCCTAAATGCTTACAACTCCCAACAAAATCTCAGAAGGTTTAAATGATCTGTTAGACAACTCGTCCCAGATGTTACTGAATATCAAAAAGAAAGTAACTTCGATAATAACTTTTTATGAAAGTTGTTATATAGCAAAATGAATTTCCAAGACATTGGAATGCGTGAAGCTGCAGGAGCATTCTTCTGAGTCAGAACCTTCATCCCTAAACCCACCCCATGATCCTGCCCAGGGCTTCAACCGGGCACTCACTGAGGTTCACAGACTGATCATGCACTAGTCGAGGTCCGTTGTAATGAAGCAATGATGTGCCAAGCATCTTTTGCTTAGTGTTTGAATTTAGAGATAAATGGAAAGAGAAATCAGTAAGAAGCTTGGCAGAAACCACTCCATTCCTCACTGCAGATCCAGTCCCAGGCAGTCCCCTGAGCAGCCAGCGTAGATTGAGCTGCTATAGATCAGGGCTATGGTAGGGCCTGAGGGACACATTGCTCTAGAGATGTGAGATACTTACCGGTTGCTCCATTGTTGCTTATCAGGCTGCTCAGGATGTACTCTGCCTTCAGCAGTTTCCCTGAGAAGAAGCAAGCAGACACCAATGAGTGCAGGTGCCCATAGAAGGCCAGAAGAGGTCAGCAGATACCCTGGAGCTGGAGTTACAGAAAGTTGTGAGCCACCTGACATGGGTGTGGGAACTGAACCCAGGTCCTCTGCAAGAACAGTAGTTTTAACTACCGAGCCATCCCTCCTTATCTAATGCTTTTAGTCAAGTCCAATTATTTTTCCCGTGTAGTGACTTGTCTTCTTGTTTCCTTTAAGATTTTTTGTCATTATTTATTTTTTGTAGTTTTGCCACACTGGGTCCAGGAAGGGCTTTGGATTGGATATACTCTTTCCCTGAAAAAATGTGTTTTGTCTCACTTCTGGGTCTCCTCAGTCCTGGAAATTCTGTTATGCGTGTGTGTGCACGTGTGTGTGTGTGTGTGTGTGTGTGTGTGTGTGTGTTTTCTCTTTTAGCTTTCAGACTTCTCCACATCCTTTCTTATTTATTCGCAGTATGTTCTTTAAATTTAATGTTCCGTTCTGTGTCTTTCCCTCCTGCTGTTAGTGCTGTTGCAGGAATATAGGTCAGGAGGTCAGGGTTGAACACCGAGGGCACTTGCATCTTTGTTTCAAGACTGTTGCCAGTTACATAGTGTAAGGCGCAGTGGTGTTGCTGGTCCCTGGCTCCCCCAGTGAGCAGCATGAGCCACAGACCTTCAGAGGCCGAACTCATGTTTCATCATACTCCCAGGGTATCATAGACACGTGGAGGGCAGGCAGCACTGCCCAGGAGTACCATTTGCTGATCCTTTTGATGAATGAATCAAAGGGAGACTGAATGAAAATCAGAGAGAGCACGTAAAAAACTCTGTTGTTTTTTTGCCAGGTAATTTCATAACTTTTGAAACTTTTTTTAAAAATATTTTCTCCCTTTTACTTCACTTTCCTAACCAGTTATCTGCTTGCCATGTTTTCAACGACAGTTTTTGGCAGTTGAGCATCCTCCTCAGCCATGAAATGCATGAAGTTCAGTGCACCCATGCGGAGGGCTCCTGGGAATACTGGCTCTCTGTGTAGCAGTGGTCCTCAACCTTCCTAATGCTGCAACCCTTTAATACAGTTCCTCACGTTGTGGTGGCCTCAACCATTTAATTATTTTCGTTGCTACTTCACAACTATAATGTTGCTACTGTTATGAATCATAATGTAAATATCTGAGATATAGGATATCTGATATATGACCCCAATGTTGAATAAGCTTCTTTGCAACTTCTACACAGTGGCTGATAGGAGTCACTACATCTCCTTTGACAGCCTGTGCAAAGCCTTAAGAATTTTATCTTTCTTCTATTTTTGTTTCCACAGAAAATGAAAAGATGTGGATTCCTTCCAGACTAATGTGGTTTGATCAAGCCAGACCACCTGAAACAGAGTACAAGCTGATCCTACATTCAAAACAGCTGGACAAAACAGCCGTACAGACTACAGCCAGGATATCTGAATCTTCTTCGAATCCCCCAAGACAGCGCCCCTTACCAGCAGGAAGTAGTTTGGAAAGAACGACGCCCAAATTCCCAAATATTGTGTATAAATGTTTGTTTTCATTTAATTGGACTGTTATATAAAATTAAATAAAATTTAAAAAAATAATTACAACACCTATAATAAAGAAATTTTGACTTCTCCCTTAAAAAAAAAAAAGAATTTTATCTTTCTGTATCTATTTTTAATCATGTGACTCAGGGTTCCGTCTTTGGTCTCTGCACAGAGATTCAAACCCTTGTCCCTTTCCTTAGGACTATGTCCAACGCAAATGCTGTTGGAAAAGTGTTGTCAGCAGTAGCTAATGCTCTGACCCTGAATACCCACTATGTTGCAGGCACTTAAAAGCTTATTTACACGCTGATAATGACGGAAGATTCTTCACTGGTTCATTCCTCCGTCTTTATGGATGTCTGTGCCTTTTCTCTGCCATCGTGGTTTGAAATGCTTGCTTCCTGAATCAGAGCGAGCTGAGCAGCAGGTCCAAGGCGGGGTTCTTCTCGTGTCTTCCTGACACCTGCTATTTTGATGTCTGCAACATATTTTGGGTGGAAACCTGCACGGACTTGATTGCAGGGGATTTCGGCTGCACTACTGTCTTTTTCTTTACCCTGTTTGATGAATGTAGTCCCCCATCCTCTCCCCGAGTGACCCAACTCTAAACACCCACATCCACAAATACCTACTCACTGTATTCAGATGCTATGTAGGTACAGATATATTAGGGCAGGAGTTTATAACAGCCAACCCTGAGGCTGTGTGTTTTAGTTGCACTCATGGAAATGCCTTTGAGCAAAAGACAAGCTCAACTGCTGAGAAATAAGACACAGGACTTTTATTTTAGACCCTAGTGAGCCAAGGAATATACCTTCCACGGTGACATTAGGGCTTCAGCAGGAGAAAAGCCCTTTATCACCAATGTTAGAGGTTCAATGACAAAGCCAGGCAAAGGAACCACTGGGGGATATAGCTCAGGGATAGAGCCCTGAACTAGCAAATGTGATGTCATGGGTTCTATCCCCCAAGAGGCAAAAGAGGAGAAAATCTGACAGGTTGGCTGGCTTGTTAGAAACAAAACTGTCAGCACACCTACCTATTATCTGACCTCTATTTCCATACCACAGCCCAGCAACTCTGTATATGCAAATACACAAGTGCACCTCAATGGGAAGCTGCATTAAAAGTCTGCTGTTGCAGGGGGCCCTCATCGTCCTGTCTTCCACAGCAAGCTCTTCACATGGCTCTGCCACTGGATACCACAGAAGGCACCTTTATTACAAGGTTTCCCTCATGCCTCAAATGCCATTAATGCATTAGGGACATCGGAAGGAGGATATTTTCCCATTGTTCAGCCTTCTCTAGAGTTACTCCGGAAAAGGCACAATTTGCTTAGAGTTAGAAGAACTTGCCAGAGTGGCCCTGAGCTTTTGTGCTTGGACTGAATCTAGGCCTTCACATGCGCCAGGCAAGTGGCTTTACGCTGAGCTGTACTCCAGCCCTGATCTGGGATTTTGAAAAGGCAAACTCTACAAGGCCTTCTGCATTAAACAATCGTCCCATTTAGTATAGTTACTGAAGTTCCCTTTCAAGAGAAATGAAGTAAGACTTCAACCTCCAACAGACCACTCACCAAAGTAACAGAAATAAATGAAATCAAGCAAGGGGGGGGGGTTTAACCTCTGAGAGGGGTGATTTCACTTCTCTTTTCATACTTTCTCTCCACGTCTCTATATTTACAGATTATGAGTAATTTAAATGCTTCGCGGGCTGTGTGCGAGCGGGCTGTGTGGAAGTAGGGACGCAGCCCCCACCTCGTCCCTACTCCCTGTCTACGTCTTAAGTTGGCCTGTCAGCCTTGGTTTTCATTTCATTCAAAGTGACAGGGGGAAAAAAAGATACCTTCAGCCCTAATCAGGTACTGTACCGGTGCTCCCAATGATGAAAACCCCTCAAATTGCTTCAGTGGGCTGTCAGCTTCATTGTCGGCTTAGTCAAGTGGCCGTACAGAAAGGAGACAGGAGAGCTAAGAGAAAAGAGTCGATTTCTAATCAGCTTTTTAAAGGCCCTTGGTCAGAAGTATAGCAATTCAGATGCCCCTGTTTGAAAGCAGCGGGACAGATTTGTTAGCAGACAAAGGCTCCAATTAGTATTTTCCACACCCTTTCACAATTTTCTCTACTGCTTTTGGCTCTGAACCCCTTTACGCCAGGCCTTTGTGCCTGCCGAGAGGCGGGTGCAGGGGCAGCGCGGGCTGGGGCCGCAGAGGTGGCACCCGCCGGTGCCCGCGAGGGTCTGCAGAGGTCAAGTAGCTGGGAGTAAGCGGGCTGGGGACCAGCCGGCGCCAAGGGATGGAGCCCACCTGAGTTGACGGAGATCCGGGCTTGGCGGATGACCACCTGCGGGGCGATGGGCGTCGCGGGCTGCAACTTGTGCAGGCCTTTGGCGACCTGCAGGAGTTTTCCGGAGACGTCGAGTCCGTACAGGAACCGGTCCATCAAGAAGACAATAGCGGCGGCGGCAGCGCAGTCCTGGACAAGGATGGAGGCTCGCAAGGCCGCCTGCAGAAGCAGCCACAGGACACAATGAACCAGAGGATATCGCAGGCTCTCAAAAAAGACTGCCCTGAACCGGGCCTAGTCGTCTAGGTACTTTTCATTAAAACAACAATCAAGCTTGTAGCTAGTGAGAGAAGTATTCTTTAGTAAGTGATAAAACCATAAGAAAGAAAAAAATAATTGAGGAAAAGTTCAATTCTGTTGATAAAATAGTATGGTCTTCATTGACCCCCTCCCATGTCTAAAACCATATTGATAGGAAGTGCATATTTCTTGTGAAGTTAAAACAATACAAAAGTGGGGCACGGACTTCAAGTATGAAGTTTTATTTCCACTTTCCCCTCAGTCTCCTCTCCTTCTTATTCTCCTCAGTAATGATATAAGTAATACTCCCAAATAGGTGTGTCCCGTTTTTATGTAGTCATAGACATTAAGTGATTCTTGGTCTTGCCTGGCCTCTTTCTGTCTGTCATTAATGAGATCACACTAGACACACTGTTGTTGGCCTTTCTGGTTTAGACATCATTACATCAGGGAGTGTTTTTCACCCTGCCTCTCTCTCTCCGGGAGAGATAGACAGAGACAGCATTTCATATATGCATACAATGTGGTTTGATCAAACCCACTCCCCTCACCCTCCTCAATTTCTCCGGCTCCCCACTGTCCCTCCTTGAAGCCACTGAGCCCACTTGATGTGCACACGCATAGGGCAGTCCGAAAGAGCATGGCCAGGGACTATATCCCTGAAGAAAACTTAACCTCTCTCCCCCAACAGCCATCCATCACCAGTAAACAGCTCCTCTGCTGGTGACGTAACTGCATGATTCACTTCCGCTCCATGTGGGGGTTATGACTAGCTTAATTATGTGCCGGTCTTGTATGTGTAATTAGAGCAGTTGTGAGCTCATATACTTCCAGAAAATACTGTGTCATTGCAGACGTCCACTGCCTCTGCCTCTTCCTCCTCCTTCTGAAATGAAGCCTGGTGGTAGCTGTCCCATTTTGGGCTGAGAACGTTAACTTAGCATTCATTTCAGCTGCCCTGTAGGGCAGAAGGGGGCCTTCCTCCTCCTCCTTCTTCTCCTTCTTCTTCCTTCTTTTTTCAAGACAATATTTTTAAGGGGGCCTTCCTCCTCCTCCTTCTTCTCCTCTTCCTCCTCCTCCTTTTCTTCCTCCTCCTCCTTCTTCTCCTTCTTCTTCCTTCTTTTTTCATGACAATATTTTTTTTCATTTAAATTTGAAACAAGCTTGTTTTAGGTGTCAATCCCAGTTCGCTCACCCTGGTATCCTCTACTGTCCCCCCACTAACCCCAGTTCCATCCCCCCTTTTTGCTCCCCAAGGAGGGTGAGGCCTTCCATGGGGGATCTTCAAAGTCTGTCATATCATTTGGAGTAGGACCTAGGCCCTTCCCCATGTGTCTAGGCTGAGAGAGTATCCCTCTATATGGAATGGGTCCCCAAAGTCCATTCCTATACTAGGGTTAAATACTGATCCACTATCAGAGGCCCCATAGACTGCCCAGGCCTCCTAACCCCCATGTCCAGGTGGTCTGGGTTGGTCTTATGCTGGTTTCTCGGCTATCAGTCGGGGGTCATCAGCACCACAGATGTAGTCAGTATTGCTGTAGTTGCTGATTTAAGCAGAGTGTAACAGCACCCTGAAAGAGTTCAACCCAAATTCAAAGAACAGGGCATCCTGGAGGATCTTGGCAGCAGTTACAGATTCTAGCAAGTAAAAGGACCAGCTGTTTGGCCAAGGGTCCCTACCTTTCACCAGGAAGTCTAGGTAGAAATGTAGAGTCAGTGGACATGAGCTAAGGCAATTTCCTATAATGAAAACTTGGGGAAGCAAGGCACGTGTTATTCACATGGAGCCTACTCACTGGCTGTTCAGAGAAGAAGTGCAAAAACACAACCTGGGAGAGCAAGCTGTACCCAGGAGCGGTAACCCTTGCTTCCCCGTTGCTTGGGCCATGATTAACTTGGTGTCACCTAGCCTTGGTGGTGCAATTTAAATTATGTTTTGAAGAACATAAAAAAAAATAAAATACAGAATGACGTTTTGTTCCTCTCCCTCTTCTCTTCTTTCTGTGCATCCTCCAGTCCTTTTAATTAGATTTAGGGCATGCCAGGGATGGCGAGATGGTTCAGAAGGTAAGAGTCCTTGCAGAGGACTCAGGTTGGGTTCCCAGTACCCACATTAGGCAGTTCATGCAGCTCCAGTTCCAGGAGTCTACAAAGTGATTATTTTCATCAAACTGTGTGAAAGTTGTTGTGTTTCATTTGCTTACTTTTATTTACTTCCGATGCTAACATGTGTGCACCAATACACACACACCTGAAAGAATAATAAAAATACATCTTTATGTTTAGAACATCGCAGGAGTTTTCTTTTGTCAAAGGTAAGAAAAAATGCATTTCTGTTGAGAGAAAATGCCCTCTGTTTTTGAAACGCTCACAGCAACGGCTCTGCAGTTTCAATACTGCTGTGGCCTACACCTTGGATCCCCATTCCTGCCCAAATGTGGCCTACACAATGGACCCCCATCCCTGCCCAAAACTTAAGTGGCAAAGGTTTGGTTTCCAGGTGAGATATTGGAAAGCGTTAAAACATTTTTTGGTGGTAGAGCTTGGTAGGAGGTCCTTGTGACATCGAAGGTGTGTCTTTGAGGAAGACTGTCACCCTTCCTTTTTTTTAGTCATGAGTGGAGCAGTTGTTGTCCAGAGTCATTGCTATTGAGCATGCCCACCAGAAGCCTCCTAAGCACTAGATCTGATGAGCCATGGGCCAGAACTTTCAAAACTGTGAAGCAAAACAATCCTTTTCTATTTGTGAGATATTTTTCTGTTATTTCTGTAGAGTGATGGAAAGCTAAATCAATTAGCATTTTGTTAAGTAAACTAGGCTGAATATTTACTTCTCATGCATGCTGAGCTTTAACTATTGTACATGGCTTGATTTCTGATTTAGATTCTAGTTTATATATGGTTTATGTTTCCAGCTAAGGATATATACAGCAATGCACAGAAAATAACATTTATGCATAGAATATGTGGTGTGTGTGTGTGTGTGTGTGTGTGTGCATGGACCATCATGGATCATGCAGTGCCTACCAATGACAGCTCATTAATCATCAACTCTTTACTCATATGGAAATGATAATCTCTAGTTAAATTATGTTGCTACCTTAAGTCTTGATTGCTTTTACTGTGATGGAGATGTGGAGATGTCAGTCCTTAGTAGAGAACATCTCCACCTTTATCTCTCCACCTCTTCTTTTTTTATTAGCTTACAAACATCTCTCCTTGTCTTACTGTTTCTTTCCCTGTTATGGGAAGTCAACGATTACATCATTTCTGACTTCTATTTCTTTATTTTGTTGCATGGGAGGCAGAATGACTTTGATTAGAACATTTAGTAAAAATAACTGAGGTCTTTGATTATTTTCCTTTTCTCTCTGAAACAAGCTGTCTGAAGGAAACAGAATCTTTTCCTGTTCTCCTATACCCCAGGTCTTCCCTAGGAAGTCTATACAGGGGATATTCTATACCCCAGGTCTCCCCTAGCAAGCCTATATAGCAAGCACCTATTGGGGATGTTCTGCTTGGCCAGGTGATTCCTGTGATTATGGAAGTCTGTATTAATTGTGCAGGAGATGCGGCAGATCTCCTATGCTCCAATATGAAGCTTTATCATCCAACCTGGTCTTAGTCAGGGAAAAGGTAATATTTAATCTCTTGTTCCAAAGGAGATACCTCAGCTACTAAGAGCACTTGCTGTGAAAACTTGAAAATCTGAGTTTGAATCCACAGCCCCCCCCAAAGCCAGATGTGCCTGTGTTCACCTGTAACCCCGGCACAGAGGGTGACGGGGATTGGGGGAAGCAGAAGGAGGCATTTTGATTCTGGGAGCTCATTGATTAACCAGCCTGCTGAATGCCTAGCTCTAGGTTTAATAAGAGACATTGTTTGAACAGAGTAAGTTAGAGAGAACATAGAAACTAAACACACACACACTACATACACACACACACACACACACACACACACACACACACACACACACACCAAAACACACACACAATATTTAAAATCTTGATCAAACTTCTGTGTTATTTCCCAATTTTCTCATAATCCAAGAAGGGAAGAGAGATTACTTACTGGATATTCTCAATGACCATGGAATTAATACTACCTTTCTTATAAAAGTCATCATAGTCCATGTCCCTGTTTTTGAAACAACCACGTATTTTGCTACTTGATGTCCTTCTCTGCCCTCAGCTCCCACCAGTGGGATAAACCCAAGAGTAGTCATGAGACATCCAGCCTTGAATCCCTTGAAATGAACCTCTCACTCTGAACTGAGACATGTAGAGAGAAACTGCCTGTTTTTTTTTCAGATGAAAAGAAGTATTTGTTTTATTATTTATATGTGAGTGTGAGTACATGTGAGTGTATGTAGGTGCCCACAGAAGCTAGAAGAGACACCAGATCCCCTGGACCTGGAGCTATAGGCAGCAATTGTGAGCTACTTACCTGTTGTGGGTGCTGGGAACCAAACCCAGGTTCTCTGCAGGAGCAGTACTCACTTATGTTTTGTTGGTTTTACAGGGTTTCTCTGTGTTGCAGCTCTGGCTGTCCTGAGCTAGCTTTGTAGACCAGGATGGTCTCACAGGGATCCGCCTACTTCTGCCTCCTGAGTGAGTGTTGGGATTTAAAGGCATGTGCCATCACCACCATCACCTGGCAACAGTCATTCTTAACAGATGATCCATCTCTCCAGCTCCACACCTCCCTGCTTACCATTGTAAAACTACATTTCTCCTTTATTATCCCACCATCACCTTCAGGATTATGTACAGTCTTCCGTGAGTTTTCTTGATTGAACCTCCCATCCTTCCAACCAAGACTGGCAAGCTACAACTGAAATGCTATTGAACTTTTATTTTTCAAGTAAACAATCACTCCGAGAAACAAATTTCACAACAAGTGCTGTCATCTCA